TATTAAATTTGGTGATAGAAGGCCATATTTCTCAAAAACTTTCAAAAAAACTAATTATTGACAATGAGAAGGCAATGAGAAGGCCTGAATATTGCTTTTTAAATGGAAATACTTTGTTAGTTTTTGAAGAAAGTTCAGTGAAGATTAAAAATGGGATGAAGCCAAACCCTAAATGCCCAAAAAGTGTCGCAGATTTCTTTTAAAGTTCCCTGTTTTAGTTTTTCTTTTTTGGTTGGGATGCCAACAGTGGTCTCCACTGCACATGTGAACGCCACATGTGTAAAAAATTATACCACATCATAAAAAAAATTTCACATTAGATTAATAACGTCACATAATGCCTATGTTACTATCTGGATGCCACATATTGCTTTTGTTAATGGTTACTAACATTTACATGAACTATGTTAAAATATTAGATTTCTCACGAGTTTAAAAAAGTAGAGGTTGTTGACCGAGAAAAAAAATTTTGAAAGGTGTTGACCGTAAAAATAAATAAATAAATAGAGAGTGCAAATAAGTGATTTGGCCATGATGAAAAACCACAAACAGGATGAGAAGAAAGAAAACTATATTAAATTGTAAAATATAAATTATTATATGTAAAAAGACTTCCAATATCAGATAACCCACCCCCAATCTAATGATTTATATAGTATAATTTGATACAATTTAAACTATATTACACTTTTTTAAATTAAAAAATAAAAAAAATAAAAAAAATAAAAACACAGAAGAAAGAGTGGGGAAGGAATTGTTCCTTTTTACATTTAGGTGGTATTCTAGCTTAGGCCATCCCCAAGCATAACATAAGTGTCCATGGTTCAGTAACTTCAGTTTCTAGATAGCTCATCTCTATTGTAAAAATTAAAATTGGGTAAAAGTGGCTTTTTATTAAGGTCTTCTAATTTTTTTTTTTTTTTGGATATTTATATTCAAATTGTCCTACCTAGACTAATTTTCACACACTTTAAAATTAATTTCATTTCAAACAATTTTAAAGATACAACCTACATCAACTTAATACATTAAAAAATTAGTTTTTTAAATACTGACTCCAAAATTTAAATCTTAAATTAACCTATAACAATACTTGCTTGTACATGCAAAGTAACCATTTAGAACTATTCATTAAATAATCAAACAATTCACATTTCATCTAATAGAAATGTATTCTTTGAGTTATAAAATAATTGTGGTTTTTTAAATTTTGAATGTATTTTAAATTAAATTTTTTTTATTTTTAAGGTAGATAAATAATTTTTTACTACTTTAAACTTTTCATTATCCTTTTATTTTAATTATTTATCTTATTCAAAAAAAAACTTT